AATCTAATTTTTATATTTCTTATTATCAGGTCAATCCAAAACTTAAACCGATATAATACAATTTTTTTCATTTCAAAAGTTCGAATCGAGCCAATTTTTTTGTAAACTCAAAAACATTCAAATTCAAACCTGAAAATTTTCGGTCGGTCTACCGATTTTAATTTTGACACCCTAGTGACAGGTGAACAGGTAGGGTTTATATTTAAAAATAAGAAATAGCGAAAAAGATTGATACGCTAGTTCGAATCAACAAACACGGTTCAGATAATACAGCAACCGAACTCAAACCGGTTTCGGTTCATGGCGGTTCCAATTTGAACCGAAATCGCCGGTTTGAAACCTGCGAACCGACGGGTTCAAAACCGATTGGGCAAGTCTTTATCGCTTCCTGACCTACCCGCACTTCTCTTTTTCGTTCGTCTTTGCTTCTCCTCCTCTTCTCGCTCTCACTTACTTCCAACTTCCGAAATTCCTTCCTACCGTTAGCCGTCTTTTTCGTCTCGTAATCCCCTCTCCTTTCTACGACGTCGTCCTGCAAGACAGGTTCATATCTTATTGTTGTTTTCGTCCGAGGCTTCGTAAGTTAAAGTCTTACACTATTTTTGATTTATTTTATGTTATAATTGCCAGCTGCTATGGTGTTTAGGGCTTGAATTATTTGATGTTAGTTGTGTTTATTGTAGATGGATTCAGAGGGTCGGAGTTGTTAGTTTAAATTTTGTTGGTTCTCTGCATTTTTAATGGATTGGATTCACTTTTGTGTTTCTTTTGATGGAATTAGTTTAGATGATTCCTGGATTAGTTCTTCTATTATGCACTTTTGTGTGATTTTGGTTTAGGTGATTCATGGAATTATGATTTCTGTTTATCATTTTTATTCATACATGATTGCACAAGGTGTAAGTTAATGTTTTGCATACAAGTTAAGAGGATAAGAAAGAAATGATGATTGATTAATTTGATTTATAAAATGTTGTGTTTTTGTATTTTAACGATGGAGCTGGAAGACTTTGAAAGAGCTTTATTTTATTATCTTAGAACTATTATTTTGGGATTGCTTACATAGCAGTCAATGGCAACTGATAATGCCGCTACTGTGCTGCCATGGGAGTGGAGTGGCTGTCCACCACCGCTCCATTGCAGTCCATGACTGCTTGTTGTGGAGGAACCATGTAGGTTGGAGCGGATATATAACTGTTATCTATCACGAGTGGCAGTGAGAGGAATAAAGATGAGAAAGAAAATTAATTATTTAATTTTAATTTTAGGGGCACTTGGATTTAAATATCTATCAGGTAAAAAAGATTTAAGTTCAGTCCCTCTCCAATTTGAAAAAGCAAAAAGCACTGCACTCCCTATTTTTCATTTCACTTTACACTTAACTCCCTAGTACCTAATTTACCCCTGAATCACCATATAATGTAATGAATATTATATGTCCTCTCATTATTTTTATATAAACCTATATTATCTAATTACGTACTCTAAAATTATCCCGATGTACAAAGAAAATATCAGAGTAATGTGCCTCGAATTTTTATTTATGTACTAAAATTAGTTACAGTAATTTAAGTAAAAATAAAATAAAACCCTAATAAAATTCACCATCCGACTTTGAAGATGAGTTATTCTTCCAAAATCTTTCCCTTTTATGCTGCCCTCGTCGTCGAAGCCCCCCTAGCGAACTAATTGCCGCCGAGCTTTTTTACATAAACCTCCACCGCCGTCAGAAGCCTTCCCTTGCTGCCGAGAGATCATATCTTAGTCGAGATGTCGAAAAAGACTTCATTCCAACGCGGAGTTCGAAAAAGTAAGTTAAGTTTATGGTAGAATCGATTGTTTTAGTTCACAGTGTATTTGGATCTATTTTATTTGTGCCTTGGTTGGATTTGTACAAGCTTCGGTGACGGATAATTTTACTTTGACAGTCTGAAACGACGTTATAGCCATTGATGAATTTTTTAGGTTGTATACTTTATTTGTTTTTGTCAACATTTTGTTTACAACCATAAACTATCGGGTTCAAATATTTTTATTATGGTATTTTGATGACTTGAAGTCGTTGGGTGACTACGTTTGGGAAACTACATGTCATCGGCACCTACTGAAATTTAGTGCGACTTCAAATCTTTGAAGATTTACTTGATTGGATGCACCATGGGTTTGTTAGTGCGCATTTAATTTATGTATTTAGGTGAGAAAAAATTGAGATAGTCTATTGCAAGCGTGTCGCACAGCTGCAAAATAAAATATCAGTTCCTACGCCACAAAAAATTTGCAAAATGCAGTAGTTCGGTGAGTAGGATCGTCTCCGCATGGAACAATAATAATTTGAACACTCGGTTGAATATAATTATACTAATATATATATATATATATATATAATGGGGGATATTGATTTATCACACTAAATAAGGAGAAAATAAATTTGCTCAACTAAATAAAATAAAATAAAATGCAAGACGGATTAGCAAAGATGATTAAATTTTGTTCATCGACTAAAAATCAAGTTCATTAACTAGTTGGATAAATTGGTTATAGTCTACACGCGTTCACAACCAACCTTTCCTAACTTTGTCGATAGCTAAGGTACGACCGTTAGCCATTTCCCTAATCGAGTGAGAATCTTAGGTACGACCGTAGTTGTACTGACTCGACAGCTTTAAGTACTAGAAAGACCCAATTCAATTTAACAAAATTCCTTCGCGGAATTTTGTTTAAAATTGATTCTAATTCTTCCCTAGAGTATTCCTCTAGGTTGCTACACCAATTGGAAAATTACACAATTACGGGTGTCAATCTCTAATTTAGCTACGAAATCTCAAATCAATACGTGCACAATAATCAATTTAAGATTTCTAAACTTATAAATTAGAAAAATTAGAAATACCAAATATCGATGAACACCAAATTAAACAAAATCAAGTCTCACAAATTCAATCCAAAACATAAATTCACACCTACGTAATCGATGTATATTGAAAAAACGTGTACTCACTAAATTATTCGGAAAGCACCAGTGGACCGGTAACATATACGCATAAATGACTAATATGTTCCCTACAGTGTCAGAAATTTCAATATGTCTCACAACTAATATTTTATATCCCTTTTACCCCATTTACTATTGTTGGATGTTACATCTCACTTTCAGAAATTTTTTGGCGAACAATCACAATACAAAGAATATGTTAGGTCATCAGTTATCCACTGACTTTCATATATCTATTACTTTTGGTCACCTCAATATATTTATTTTATATCTAACGTAATTGACATTCTCATCCACCCTTGAATGTGTTAGTAGGTTCTTTTGTATGTCATCTCGGGAGTATCCTCTGTTACACACTATGTCTGGAAAGTGGGTATAATGTTATCAACTCATAGTTGTTTGATCCAACAAAAATCATTGACAAATTATGCTCATATTACTTGAATACTCGTGTTCACATTAATAATACTTGCACACAATTATAAATACTTTAATACACAAAGATGCACCCTCTTACTCGGATATGTATACACATGATAGTAATGAATATATTCCATGAACGTCACAATATACTCGTATTTTCATTGCAGCAACTCCTTCAACAATATTAAATACCTCCATAAATAAATTTAATATATATTAATATAATTTCAGATAAATGATAGAGTTACACTATGGGCCATGTTATACCGTAACGAGTACTTATGGAACATAAAAGAGCTAAAGTATTATGTAGAATTTAATAAGCAAATTCCCGTGTAATTTATTATCATTGTTAATAACTATTACTCATGATCATATTTAATATAATTACAATAACATGTAACGTACTTTCATTATGAATTCATGTACCCTTATTTTATACTTTGGAAGAATTATTTTGGACTAATATGTACCTCGGAAAAATAGTTGTGTACGTCCAGTAATATGCAAGGGAATATCATCGAATTTTCAAATCATTCAATAGTGGTCCCATACATAAATTACGTTCAATGTACAATCTTGCATAAACAAAAAAAAAATAAAAATTCCAGCCATAAGAAATACGGAAGAAATACCTACGATAAAATCTCCTTGCAATTTTTTCGGTTGTGTCATGACGACCAAAACTATCATATTTTTTAATTTGTTTCACCTATTGTGATTCAAATCGCATTTTGCTTTGGCCAGCCTGGTTGGAAGAATGATGTGTGAGAAATTATCTTTGTCTGCAAGTTGTTACGCCACATCTATATCATGGGTCGGCGTCAGGTTATGGATTCATCATAGACATCACATATTGCTTGATAGAATCAAACATCCCAACAAACTGTAATGACCTTGTTGAGCGCACCCAACTATAGAACGACTCAGCTATATTGTTATTTATTATCCTCCAACGAGTCTCTTAGAATAGATAATTCGTCTGACACTAGCGTTGTAATCATGCAATGAAGTTTCAGGCAAGTGGCATGGCCTCCACAACATACGTTATATACTGCTCAAAATCCTTCTATAGCGGGGCATAACCTGCTTTGTTGAAAATGAACGTCCATTTCTTGTTGTGCATCCCATATCTCTGCACTACTTATATGAAATATAATTACTTTGTTTTACATATCATAATAAATAAATATATATTTTACACATAACTAAGTGCGAAAATTGTTCATTAGGTGTCGGAGACAATATGTGTGGTGGACTCTAAAAAATACGACAGGAATGAACTTTAGAAGTTTCAAGTGTTTATCAAAACATATATTTTTTTCCAATTATCGACCATCAATGTGAATAATAAACGTTAACCTTCAGCAAAATCATTTCCAATCAATTTCGGCAGACACCGTTGCATAGCTACAAGATATTAACATTATCTAATACAAATACATAAAATAAACACCAAGGTTCATAATGAGTAATCGTAGTATATATCAACAAAACCAAGGTACTTTTAAACAAATGCATCATACGATATCAAAAAACATAGGTATAAAATTAATAAATATAGGTATATTACACTGTAAAAATGTATCCGTGAAAATACCCACGCATACTAGCAGGAAATCGCAACAGCTCCTACAAACATTTTTTCGAATACATACCCTCTTAACGAAAGGTCATACACAATTAGAAGCAATCATAATCGCAAACAAGACAACAATCGTCGAAGCAATAGTGAAATACTTACCGAAATCGATCGTGAATCCTAATAGCACTATCGCAATCAACCAACAAAATCATCACACCAAAAAAACATCGCAAGCTGAGGAATCGAACATCCACCTTACCCGTTTCTCCCTTGCACGAAATAAACCTAAAATTTGGAATTTAGATTCGAAATCCATCACAGATTCACCATCGATCATAGACTCTCTCCGCGAACGAAACCGAACGATTTAGACAATTTTTTCCTTCACGCGAATGAAATCAAAGGCTAGATACAATCTCTTTCACTCCCGCAAAAAAACCTAACAAATAGAGAAAGAAAAATAAAATTGATAAAAATAAATGTTTAAAGTAAGATGAGGGTAAAATTAGAAATGAAAAATGAACGGGGAGTTAATTGTAAAAAAATTTTAAAAAGGAGGAGTACAGACCCCACTCATATTGGATAGGAACAAATATGAAAATAGGGATGGGTATTTAATTACAATTCTCCGTTAATTTTATCATTTTTAAATTTTTTCTTAGAAAACATCGCTATCAAACAAAAACTATATAATAAAACACACCAATATATTTTTAATATGATAAATAATTATATTATAATTATCTCAAATTGTTGTTAATCTCGTAAGGCCCCCAGACAAAAAGTTACCAAAACAAACAAAGCTACTGAGGGAGCAGCTCATGTACTCTTGTTTTTTGACCGAGCTCACGCGGATTTACCTTTCCGGGTGATTTTGCGGGCCCTTTTCATCGGTAACTCACTCCGTCACCCTTTACAACCTCACCTATCCGACGAGCTGCTTCATTTTCCGCAACTATTCTCAGAGCAGCTTCCTCCTTCACCACCATTACCATTCCGATGCCCATGTTGAATGTTCGACTCATTTCTGCATCTTCAATTCTCCCCGTCTTCACCATAAAAGATGTATAGTTTAGCTTTTGTGTTTTTTTGCTTGCGGGGATGGTTTTAAATAAAATAAACTACGAGTAAATGGATAGAGAGTGAAATCTACCTCTTGAATCCACTTAAAGATCGGAGGAACCGTCCAAGAGTCCTTGTAGATGAGAGCTCCGAGGCCCTTTGGAAAAATGCGGGGTATGTTGTCGGTGAAGCCACCACCGGTGATGTGGGCGATCCCTTTCACACCGCCTTTGCCAATGATGTCGAGTACCTGAAATATGAACATTCGGATGAATTTACTATATATCGATGAGCAATATATGTACTATCTTGTTGGTCTACTAACAATTGATACGTTTAAAGTGGGTTTGGTCTGAGTTTCAAATCCAAATATTCGGTATTTAGTCCACACCGTTCTCAATAAAAATGCATCACAAAACGTTATATTCTATGGGTGTATTTGTTTGGATGATTTCATTTGATTTCTACTATTCACAAATTGTTTTCTTCTGAGAATATCAAATCAAATAACTAATTTTTATTTTTTATATCAAAGTAAAAATCAATTTTACATAACTAGCATATAGCATATAAGTGTGTAAATACATATAGGAGTTTGTTTTGTTGCGATTTCAAAATCTCTTCTCACATAAGATCACATCAAAATACTATTTTAAACAAAAATTTAAATCTAAGATCCTGTTTCAAATTAATTTCAAATCACAACCAAACAAACATGCTTTTAGGTTGTAAAAATCTCACTTTTAATTTATGTCTTATTGTGATAAATAAAAAAGAAAAATACTGTGATAGTTTGACATGAAATGATAAAAATGTTTTATCAATACTATTTTAGACCCACATTAACTAAAAATTTAGTGTCCCTAAATTTTGCAGATGGAAGGAATATTTCACATCCACATTAACTAAATAAAGAAATATATCTATTGCTTGCTAAAGCTCTAAATAGTAAAAAACATCTATTGTTAGTGGGCGGGTAAGTATATTGTAATGCCCTATAGCAACCATGGTAAATAAACAAGGGTCTAGTGCAGTGTATCACCTGTTTGACATATATCACAGTAGGTGCCATCAGAGCTTGACAGAGCGTAGCAGATGAACCCGGAAGACTATCATTCAAAGAATGGCCACTTTGGCTAAGAACTCTGGGAACAACAGCAAATGTATAATGAATCAAAGATCATGGCTTAACAGATGAAAATTCAGTGAATTTAAGAGAAATTTCGACAAGAACATTTGAAACCTTCTAACAAGAGAAAATCCATTTGAATGCACACCGCTGGATGGCAGACCGACAAGTACATCACCAACCTCTATGCTTTTCCCGTCAATCACTGAATCTTTTTTCACAATGCCGACAGCAAAACCACTCAGATCATACTCACCATTGGCGTAAAAATCAGGCATCTCTGCAGTCTGAAAGAGGCAGTCGAATCCATCAACTTCCAAATTATAGTTTATAAAGATCAATACAAACTTTTCCAACCATATAAAAACTCTGAAACAGTAGAATATGCAAACTTCCAAGTTCGAATAACTGAATCGTCAAGATCAATGGTCCATTGCTTCCATTCCACAGAAGTAAAATATCTTAGCAATGCTCTGCAGAAACTGGAATTCCATGGGTGTGTTTGGTTAGCAGTTGGAGCCAAAGTTGGCACATAAAGTACAACCAACTTGCAACCAAACACACTCTAAATAATGTTTCATTTACTGCAAAGCACGAGGAATCAATAAGCATCTACAAATACCTCTCCCCCTAGAAGAGCACAATCGGATTGTTGGCAACCATCGACTATGCCTTTGATAACCTGTGTTAGTAGATAAAAAGTTTATTGAACTTTTCTCATCATTAAAAGAGAAGAGTGAAATACTACTTTATGATATAGAAATACATCGGGGACATATGGAACATCACCTTTTCTGCAAGATCAACATCAAGATGGCTAGTGGCAAAGTAATCAAGGAAAAACAAAGGCTTCGCCCCAGATGTGACTATATCATTAACACTCATGGCAACCTGATTAAAACTTATAATTAGCAGCAGTTCTATTCAAGAAAACCATTCCAAAAGTTTACAAACTTTACCAAATCAATGCCTATGGTGTCGTGGATGCCAGTCTCAAAAGCAAGCTTAAGCTTTGTTCCGACACCATCTGTGCCCGCCACTAGATAAGAATCTCCTGCGAAGCATTAAAAGATTGTCCAATCAGTAATAAAATCCACTGTTGATGGGAAGACAAATATTATAAGGTTTCCTGTCACCAGGAAATTATAAAGATGCAACAATTAGCAAGCCCATCCTAGCAATATAGATCAGACAACATTATTATCGAATGCATAATCAAAAGGCAAAAGAGAACATCATACCCAAAGGGAAGAGTCCTCCAAAACCTCCAATTCCAGGGGCCATCTTGGCTATTCTACGAACAAGTTCTGAACCAGCATCGATATCAACACCAGCATCCTTGTATGTAAGGCCGGTCCCTTTGTCTTCGGGGGAAGTTTCCACTTGATTTCTGATACCACTGCTCGACATTGAAAGCGAAAGACTTTGTTTCCTAACTTCTCTTCCACCAACCACTGCTTGCTTGCAATTATTGGACAAGAATCCATTGGTTAAATTGCTTCTACAGACCTTCGGAAGGCTTGAAGCAAACATTGACGTGATGCATTGGGACATTTCAGTATTTGCCTTGCAGGACGTATACATGCTGCTTGAGGACAGAATACACCAGAACCATAAAAGAAATTAATATCAAGGTTTGTAACTGTAATTGAATAAAAAAAAAAAAAAAAAAACGAATGCCGAACTAACGCAATCAACCTGAAATGCCAAACGAATCAACAATATAAATATAACTTCGGCAGCCACACTAACTCAATTCTTCCCAAAACAATGAATCAAGGCATGTAAGCAATTTATGAACACAAATACACAACTCTGAAGCACAAATTATGCACTTGATGGAAGCAACTCACATATAGACTTGCCCATTCGGTTTCGAACCGCCGGTTCGACGGTTTAGGAACCGGCGGTTACGGTTCGAACCGAAACCGGAGACAAACCGAAACGAGCAGGCGCACAGAAAAAGAAGAAGAAGAAAGGAGGAAAGGACCGAGGTTGGAAGAAAAATGGAAAAAAATGTGAGGAACTGAGGAAGAAGGAAGGAAGAGGGAGAACCTGTGCGTCGTCCGAAGGAAGAGAGGGCGGCTGCGCGGCGTGAAGAGGAGAACCTTTGTGCGAGTGCGGCTGGGCGGTGTCCGTGTGGAAGACATTAGGGTTAATATCATTATATTTATAATTAAAATTTAAAATATAACAATAATAATATTAATACATATAAATAATTATTAATAATATTAAAAAATAATAATACTATTAATATATTTTTATAATTTTTTATTATATAATTTAAATTATTTTATTATCTATTACAATATTTTTATAATTTAATTATTTACTATATTTATTATTTTTATATTGTAAAAATTTAATTAATTATTTATATATATGATTTTTATATAATAAATCAATAATAAATATATCTAAATAAAATTAAAATAAAACTTAATTATTTTTAAATAAAATTCAAATTTTTAGAAAAATAAAAAAAAAATATATTAAAAATGAATATATATAAACCGGCAGTTCAAACCGTAAAACCGTAATCAGCGGTTTATAAATCGTAATCAAAACCGTAATCAGCAGTTTATAAACTGTAATCGAAATCGTCAAATCGTAACTGAAACCGTCATTCGAAGGTTCGATTTCGGTTTGATATTTTGACAAACCGTAATCGGCGGTTTGAACCGTTTGAGCAAGTCTACGAACGCCACCTGCGGCTCCGCAGTCATCATCACCACCTCGTCGCCGTACACACTCTCCATATACACCTCCTCTCCATATACACCTCCGAAAAATGGCTTCCCTTCCCCGCAACAAAGAGTTGGATCAAACGCCGGACCCAAGCAATGCAGAAGCCAAACTCGCTTCGCCATGTCCCCGAACGCTGCAAAAAATGGCGAATCCGGAATACCGTCTCCCGACTCAACAAGCCTCCGCAGGCTCGTGTCCCCGAAAAATGACGCTTCCATTTTCGGGTGCACCAGCCTCATATACTTTGCGCGACTAAACGCCGCAAATTCGGAGCCGGGCCCCCGAACAAGATAATCCACGGCCCGCATAGACTTGAGCTCGACGAACTCTTCGAGAAACCGGGCACAATTGGAATGGCTTTCCGGGTCGGGCGCCCGCCCAATTTCAAAACCCGGGTGGTTGAACCCGTCGAACATTTGTTTGCAGACATACGACTCGAACGCATAGAATCGATGCTCAGGCGCCCCGAAAAAGGCACCGGGTTCGACTACAGATGCGGCTTTGTCCAAATTCCAACCCGCGGCCGAAGCTTCGGATGGATTTCACCGTATGACGGATACATGAGATGATATAATTCTGGTTCAGATCTTGCAGCTGAATTTTGTCAGGAACGGCAAGCTGCCCGCTCGAATAAATCTTCTTTTCGATCAGTTTGTTCTCCCCGTTCGCCTCGGCTAATTTTTCTTTCAGAAAGGTGATTTCGGAGTCCTTGAGTTTGTGATCTGAATCCAATTTCTTTATAGTGATCTCGAAGATTTGCTGAATACTCTTCGCCTCACGGAGTTCAGACAAGAGTAGAGTTGTCTCGACGTCCGGGTCGTTGAATTGCTTATTCAAGTAACTTTCCTTTAGCTCCGACAAATTCTTGAGCTCCGCAACGATCTTTCGATCTGCGGATTGAATCCCGTCCGGGTCATACGGAGATTGGGCGAATTGAAGTTGCGCGTACGCGCAGCTTTAACGGCGGCTATGCTCGCAAATATCTGTGAAAAAAATGCTTCCATTGTCACGGCATCTTGGAACTCGTCTTGAGTATTCTCGGATGGATCTTTCGATTTCTTTTCCTCGGGTTTCACGCTCGCGATTCCATCATTGGTGATCCCGGCGCCTCCGTGAAATAAAACCTTCGAAAACATGTGCGCCAATTTATTCTTTTTCGATGCAATCGGAGAGCACTTGGCAACATCATCATTTCCCATCTGCATCAAAAATAACCAAAGAACAATATCACCAAAAACGATCATATGGATCAACAACTTAAAAGACTTACGGATATGGGCATGAATAATAGTAGCAAATTCACAAAATAAGACACAAAAAGGTTGTTCGAGTAGGCACATCACTGAAAAGGATTCATTCATAAACAACGGGATCTATTCTCATATGCATTAAAAAATAAAGGAACGTAAATGAGCCACGCGGCAAAATTAGTTGAAATTAAGGACTAGATGACAAAATGGAAAAATCAATGCACGACGGATCCTCCAAGATCAATGGGCGCGGACCGTATGCCCAAAATCTAAAAAATCATAATCTCCCCCACAAAAAAAAAAAGGTGCAATTAATACTACTTCGAAGATCAACCATCGATCGAAGCCCAGTTGTCAATGGATCGAAAATGATCAATAAGGGAAAGAACACCGAATATAAACCCGGAAAGACCGGGAGAAAGAATCCATCATTGGGACAGCATAGATACCACACTCAAACATAATTCACTACTTTCTTGGAGAAAGTCATAGAACAACAACATATATATATTAAGAATTAAGACAGGAAATCCCAAAGAATCTCTCACGAAAAGCTTGGCCATCATCATCATCCAACCCTGGCTGATTCGTCGAAACTCCCAGGACTCCCAACTCCAGAAGCAGAGAAGAAGCCTCTGGAGCCGGGAGTCCCTGGAGCTTCCCAGAAGGAGCAGCAATGAATGTATAGCATATACAACCATTTTCCAATATCAAATTAAAAGCGGAAAGAAACACAGACACACAGAGAACGATGATTCAAAGCTGCTGTTTCGAATCATGTTTTAATGAAAATCCACCCGCTGCACAAATCCGAGCCACTCATTCTCGGATCACGCGGCACTCACGTGACTGACTACCAAACGCAGAGGGGCAAAAATTAACCATCTTTGACCATCGATGCAGACAGACAGACAGACAGACCGACATACAGACATAAAGAGAAAGAAGAAGAGAGGGTGTGTTCGTTTGTAGAATTCTAACAAAATTCTATATTCATCCAATTTTTTCCCCCCAAAAAACATCAAATCAAACACCTATTTTTCATTTTTTATATTATACTAAAAATCAATTTTACATTCAAAACATCACATCATCACCTATTTATATCACATCATACAACTATTCAAATTCAAAATTTTTACTATTCAAATTCCAACTCAAAATCCAAACTCCCAAACAAACACACCCAGAAAAGAAAATAATAAGAAAGAGAATAGGGAGAGTCGAATGAGAGAAAAAACAAAAATAAATAAAAAAAAGCAGGAGAGAGAGAGAGGAGAGAAGTAATAAAAGAACAGAAAAGTACCATGAACATGGACAGTAGCTTCTCCAGCACCATTCCATGTCCAAAGCTTTTGTTATGTTTATACTGAAGATTATAGTCACATCATGTCATATTTTTCGAATTTGTTAAAAAAGTGCCTGAATAAGATGGAGAGGCCGCCAAAAACAATGAGCCATTACAAGTGCTCTAAGCGCAAGAGAAAAACAAGGAATTGATTTTACCTTCCCAGAAACCTTAATCCGGATAATCTGTAGATTTCTTTCACTCTACTGCTGCGACAATCCAAAGAACCTAATAAACAATCACCCCAGGGAAACTGTAAATTAGCGTAATATTAATCTGAGAAACACGCACACGTGTTTGTTTGCGAAAGGAAGAATCTTCTCAACTAAGCAGATTTGACAAAAAAGATAGAGGAAAGAACAGCAGCTTAATGCAAGGCAGAGATTTTGCATAAAAAGAAAAGAAACACAATCGAAGCTTTCTATTTTTCCGATTATACAAAAACAACAATCCTGTCCAGGATTAAAAGTAAAAATTCGATATAAAAACAGTGGAGAATCGTTTCCCCCCAAATGTAAACCCTAATTATTAGAACATTCACCTCATCAATAAGCTTCCTCGAGTCGTTGGGATGAGGACTATAACTGCAACTTAAGAGACTCCTTTGCCGGAGATTGTGAGGGGATGAGTGTGGACTGTAATGAGATGATTCTCGAGGTCAGGGATTGTGGACTTCAGAGCCAAAATGGCGTGCGGAGGTGCAGAAGGCAGAAATGGTTTTTGGGGGAGACGAGCAGAAACTGAGAAAGAGAGAGAGAGAGAGGGGAAAAAGAGGCTTTTTAAAAAAATGACTTAAGTCAAAGATTTAAAAATCGTAGATCTCAATTTTTCAAAATTACTATATTTATAAATTATAGGAGCTTTCAAAATTAATACATGTAAAATAATAAAAGTTTTAAAAACATTCGAAATACTAAATATAGAGGTTTTTGAAATTTTTATTTTTTCTTCCAACTACTTCGTACCATCACATTGAATGTCATCCATATAGAAGAATTATAAAATTTCTCAAAATTCTTATAATTGGTAATTTAAGAGTTTTGAAAATTTTTTTATATAAAGTACTTATGAGAACTTTATATATTTTTATTATAGGAGTTATGATAACTTCTATATTTTTTAGTTTTAACTCTTAAACTACCATATTTCAAATTTTGTGTATGGCGTGTTCGTTTTTTAAGCAAATTTTCTCTTCCAATATCCAATTTTCAAATATTATTATTTTTTTTTGCTAAATTATTTTATAATTTATATACAATATTTATTTTATATTGTATATAATATAAATAATTAATACCAAAAAAAGCAATATATAAAAGTAATATTATAAAAAATTCACATAAATGCATCATTTAAATAATTCAATAAATATAAATTTAGAAATTATACCAAAATAAACAAAAAGATATTACAAAATATAATATACAAATACTAAATAACTAACTTATTAAAACTAACGCTAAAATAAATATCATATAAAAATAATATTGTAATCAAACAAAAAATATACATCATATAAGAAAAATAGCTTACTAACAATATAAAACAAAATATTGTATAAAGATTATAAAATAATTTAGTCCAAAAAATAATGTTGTGATGTATGATTCTTTTAAAAGAAAATCCACTTAAGAAATGAAAGACATATCATCACGTATAATATTTGAAATAAAACAAAATTATTTAAGAAAATTTAAAGGGTAAATTATACTACACAAAACTCCATTGTGTTTTAGTTAAAATGCATAAAACACACCGGAGGTGTTTTATTTATTGCGTGAAACTTTCTTGTGTTAATATAAAATTTGTACAAAACACAATTTTTGTCCAAAATTGATATTTGATTATAAATATGAACTTAATAAATGCAAGTTTTATCAAATAAAAAGATAAAATATCTTAAATATCTTTTTGAATAAAATAAATATATAAATAATTTATTAATCATCCATTTTATAATTTTTTAAGACAAATTGTTATATGATATTTACAAAATTATAAAAATAAATAATTGATCAATTATTTATTTATTTATTTATTTTATTAAAAAAATTATTTAAGATATTTTAGGTATTTTATTTGTATAAAACTTGCATAATTTAGGTATTCATTTACAACTAACATTAGTTTTGGGTGGGTGTTTCGTGCAAATTTTAAATTAACACAAGAAGATATCACACAATAAATAAAATACAAAATATTTTATGCATTTTTACTAAAAACACAATAGAGTGTTATAAAATTTACCTAAGGTGAAATTGAAATTAAAAGTGTAATGTTCTCAAAACTCCTATAATTAAAAATATAAGCGTTTTTAAAATTACTTTAAATAAAAAAATATATATAATTACAGTACAGTATATTTTGAAAACTCATATCTTTAATATTTTAAGTGTGTTCAAAACTCTTATGTTTTTATATTTAAGAGTTTTGAAAACTCTTACATTTTATAAATATAGGAGTTTTCAAAACTTCTTTAAAAGTTATATTTTTAAAGCAATGTTTGACTTGAGTCATTTTTTTAAAAGCTCGGGAAAAAGACGAAAATGGACAGAAGAGGGGGTTTTTAAAATAATGTCCTAAGTCAAAACTATTTTTAAAAAAATAGACCTCAAAGTAGTTTTGAAAACTACTTAATTTTGGTAAATTAAGGAGTTCCCAGAACTTCTTGATATAAATTTAAGGAGTTCTTAGAACTTCATTTTTGGTGTAGAATGTCAATTTAAGGAGTTTTGAGAACTCTTTTAGTGCAAACTTATGTTTACCACGACTCCATCTACAAAACAAATGGATATTATACATTATACCACAAATAATAAATTTTAATATAATGATGATCGTAATAAAATATAAATAATTTACGTACTTAGCTCCATAAGGAGCAGCCGGTAGTACTAGACCATTAGGAAGTACCAGAGGGTCAAGATCAATTGATTTAATTCGAGGAGCTAGCATGTATAGTCTAGACCATGCCCAAACCTGAAATAACAAAGTATATCGTGAATAAAATATTTAACATGTTATAATAATATATTTAAGCATATAGTCATAACATATTTTCTTTTAACATATTATACCTGCAATAATGTGAGTGGACCACTAAGCTTCCTTCTATCTTGTCCAATAACAGCCGAACAAAGATTATGATATAAGCATGAAAGACAAGCGCTGCCCCAACTATAGTTCTCAGAAAGGTCAAGTGCTCGTATATATGAAGCAATCGATCGTTAGTAGAGCCGGACAATCCATCTCGATATGAAAACATAATTTGATAATAATATAATTGAAATGAAAATAATAACAATACAAAAATTTATTATCCTTATAAAAGCATAATATTTATGCACCAAAGCGAAAATGGAAATATTTATGCGTAATATTTATGCATAATATTATCCTTATCATAATATTTACGCATAATATTATCCTTAAATATTATGTAAAAATGGAAATAATATAGCAAATTACGAATAAAGTAATCAAATAAAATTGCATATAAAATAGAAATAAATATTTGTATTTTTTTAAAAAAAATTAGAATCCTAACACAAAATTAATCAAAATCAAAGAAATTACCTCAAGTACTTTAGGAATTGAAGGAAGAAGAAAGGGGAAGAAGAAGGGAATCGACCCGCCGATGGAATTGTAGGAGCAGCAGCGGTGGTGTTCGGGCAACGACAGTCGCGATTTGCTTCGGAGGGGAGGCACGGAAGAACAACAATTTCGCTTCGGTGGGGAGTCACGGGAAGAACGATTCACTTCTTCAGTAACGGGGAAGAACAACGATTCGCTTCGGTGGTGTTCGGGCCACGGCAATCGTCGACGGCGGTGGCGATTCGCTTCAGTGGGGAGGCACGGGAAGAGCAGCGATTCGCTTTGGTGGGGAGGCGAAGAACGATTCACAGTGAGAAATTGGGGAAATAGAAATTAGGGTAGATTTATCTATTTAAATTCTTATTTAAATTCTTCATTTACCAAAATTAAGTAATTTCCTAAACTACTTTGAGGTCTACTTTTTTAAAAATAGTTTTGACTTGGAACATTATTTTAAAAAACCCGAGATTTTGTCTCCCGGATTGCTTTTAAGGGGTTTTTTTAAATAAATGTCCTAAGTCAATAAATTTTTTCAAAAAGTAGACCTTAAAGTAGTTCTCAAAACTACTTAATTTTAACAAATTGAGGAGTTCTCGGAACTTTTTGATTGTAGATTTAAGGAGTTTTGAGAACTTCTTTTTGTAGTAAATTATTTAATAATTTCTAACAACATTCTGAGTAGTTCTTCAAATCTCCTTAAATCTACAACGAAGGAGTTTTGAGAACTTCTTTTAACTATATATATTAATGTATTTTTTTTTCTTTCTTTTTTTTTAATAATCCGTCTGTCTGTTTTGTATTCACCTTTTGCGTTATTGTACTTAATATTAAAAATATCTTTATATTTGTATAATTTTTTTTTTGTACAAATGTTATTTTATTAGTATTATAAGACATTAACAAAAGTATTTTTGTAATTTTTTTTAATTTACTATGTTTTAATATAATAATTAATATTCAAATATCAACACCAAAAAAGTAAAGGAGACTCTTAGAATCGGACTGATGTAGTATAATTTTTCTTTTATTCATTATCTTCTTCCTAATGTAATTTAAGATAATTTTTTTTTTTGTTTTTTTTAATCTAAAACATAATTTTATTATTTATTGGATATTTAATTGCTAGTTTTATAAAATATTAAAAAATATTTCATACACATTTATAATAATTTTGAATTTGTTTTTTAATTTTTGGATGATATTGACAATTTTTATATAGATTTTATAAATTTTTTGATTTAAAAAAAAATTGTGTTCATTGATGAATGTAATATTAATAATTATTTGATATTTATTTATTTATTTTAATAATTTTTATATATTAAATCATAATAAAAAAATTACAAAATTATATTTTATCTCATATTATTTCTAACAATAAAAAATATAAATATAAATATACCATACATACAAAAGTTCTAAACTACATAGAAAAAATTCAAAAATTAAAAAAATAAATAAATTAAAATATAATAGTAATAATATTGCAGATCATATATCTTTTACATATATATATACTAATATGATATGTGTATAGATAAAATTATAACTCTTTTATATATATATTTTTATTACTAGATATAATGTAAGATAAAATATAATTTTACTAATAATTTTTATTACTGACTTACTTTTAAATAAAAATTATTCTATTCGTCCCTTTAATAAATTTATATTTATCTTTTATGTTAGTGTACTTATTATTAAAAATATTTTTATATTTGTATAATTTATAATTATACAAATATCATTATATTTGTATTATAAAATAAATATATATTTTTTTCTCTTGATTTTACTATTTTTTTATAAAATAATTAATATATAAATACGAACATACAAAAAATAAATGTTAAACTTATTAAGTAGACGAAAATAGTATTAAAAATAAAAGAAATATATAAAAACCAAATAATTATTAACATTATATTCATAAAAAAATATATAAAAACCAAATAATTATCAATATTTTATAAAACTAACAATAAAATGCCCAACAAATATAAAATTATTTTTTAGATAAAGAAAAGAAAAAGAAAAAAATTATTTTAAATTAAACAAGTGAGGAGATGGGGAACAAAAGAAAATTTTTATTAAAAAATAAGAAGAAAAATAAATTAATATATATATATATGGTGTGTTCAGTTATGAGATTATACATAAAATTTATTACTTATTCAATTTTTTTTAAAAAAAAAAACAGTAAAATTAACATATTTTTTTAATTTTTTACTATTTCAATTCAAAATCCAAACTACCAAACAAATAAACCCATAATTAAAAAGAAGTTATCAAAACTCATTTTTTATAAATTTAAAGAGTTCTGAGTACTCATTAAAATATTGTTAGAAATTTGTTGATGCAATTTTTCAACAATAAAAAGTAAAATTCGAAAATAGAAAATTATCTACGAATTTGATATAATTAGTGCCTGAGATTAGGAATCTCTAAACACTAGAATACATAAATAAAATAGGAAAATAAAACTACAGACTGGAAAATAAAGTGGTGATCCCCAAAAGCAATTCTCTTGAATTTGATGTCGATTGAAGATGGTTTCTTAGGTCACGAACATACCTATGTAAAACCCATGTCAACCGCCACTACAAAGTCGTGCCTTTAAATCCGCTCATCGGTTGAAACTTCCTGAAACTTCCTTCAACTATCCAAAAACTGCTTTTTCGCTCGACCTGCACACCTGCTGCCTCGTCTCCTCTTGTTCGTCTTTCACTTGTTTGACCTCTTGCCTTGCCTGACTTCGCTTCGCCCGACCTATATAATACCCGACCTTATCACATTCAACCTCTGTACCCGACCTGATCACATTCGACCTCTACGCCCGACCTTATCACGCCCGACCTCCGAGCCCGAACTGATCACATCCGACTTCAGTGTCCGACCTTATCACGCCCGACCTTCGTGCTCGACCTTACCACATCTGATCTTAACGCCCTACCTTACCACATCCGATCTTAACGCCTGACCTTATCCCATCCGATCTCTGTGCCCGACCTTATCATGTTTGACCTCCGTATCCGACCTAATCACATCCGACCTCATTGCCCGACCTTATCATGCCTGACTTTCGAGCCCGACCTGATCACGTCCGACCTCAGTGCCCAACCTTGTTACGCCCGACCTCCGAGTCCGACATGATCACATCCGACCTCAATACCCGACCTGATCACATCCGACCTCATCATGCCTGAGCTCCGTGCCCGACCTTATCACGCCCGATCTCTGCACCCGACCTTATCATGCCCGAGCTCCGTGCCCGACCTTATCACGCCCGATCTCTGCACCCGACCTTATCATGCCCGAGCTCCGTGCCTGACCTTATCACGCCCGATCTCTGCACCCGACCTTACCGTGCCTGAGCTCCGTGCCCCACCTTATCACGCCCGATCTCTACACCCGACCTTATCGTGCTTGAGCTCCGTGCCCGACCTTATCACACCCGATCTTTGCCTTCTCCCGAGGAAGCCTTTTCCTTAACAACATTCGGACTTATATTCAGACTCTCTTTTTGAAATCTTACTACCATTAACAAGCCCATCAGTCCTTAACCTAATTTGATAGGCCAATTCTCGAAAACCCTACACATTATCATTTTTTTTGTGCTCAACTTGCCTCCTCCCGCCTAACTCCTAAACGTCACTCCTTGAACTGCGTGAGATGCGACGTTTAGGGGTTTGTAACACAGTGCTATCATTACACTGTGTTATGTCACACCGCAGGGTTTATGAAAAACCCTTCTCTGACCCAGTTATATTCACGCCCTCAAAATCCTGATGTTCTCCTTTCTCTCCCCAGCCATCAACTTCCAAGAACCCTCTGCTTCTTCGTCTTCTGCAACTCCTTCCCAAATGGCTAACCAATACATCCCTGCTCTTCCTTTCGATGGGGCTGATCCTCAGTACCTTCCGTGGCTTCGAGGGTCCTTACCCCTACCGTACGCCCTTACTGCACCACCACCGAAGATACTGATCGTATGAGATCCGTCATCTCTCAGGTTTCTTCAATAATCGTTAACGATGCTGCGTTTAAGCCAGAACATCTTCTGGACAGTATCAGAACTCACCTCACTGACCCAAAAGACGCCTACCGTAAATGGCACGCGAGGCTCCTCCCCCACTTTGAAGAACAGTGGAAAAAGCAAGGCATTGACAAAGCCATCCTCCTCTCAACTCAGCCTCTTTATCTTCACGACAAAACCCTACTAGCGATGGCGGCTTTTTGGCATTCTCAGATGGGTGTATTCCTCCTCCCTGCCGGTCCTATCGGGCCGACCCTGATGGACGTGGCCGTCATTGCACATTTGCCAATTGTAGGCGATGATCCTGTTCTTGTTTCTTTTGAGGGTCGAGAGCCTTCACCCAACCATGCTGGTTGGGCCCTGGCCAAGCTCCCTGAGAAAGAGAGAGGTTGGACTAATTTTGTTAACAAATATCAGGGTAAGGAAGGCACCTCTGTTTCTGAACTGGAACACACAACATTCCTTCTTTTCTGGCTCTGGAGGTACACTTTTTTCTTTTCAAATCTCTTTCGTAATTTCGAAGTTGGATGGTTTGGTTGAATCTCTTCTTTCCTTTCTTTACAGATACATCATTCTTTCCCCTTCCAAACTCGTCCTTTCTACCCAAGTCGATCTTGCTATTCAATTGGCTAACGGCCAATTTTTTTCATTGGGAACCCTCTTTTTGGCTAACCTCTTTGAG